GGGTACCTTAGTTTAGTAAATACACTCTAATGAGTTTCCTTCATTTACTTCAGGAATAACCAAAACACAAAACTGTCACTGGAACCCAAAAATTGATGAAGAGATGAATATCATTGCATATGAAACTGTGAGAATAAATTTTGTGAGGTTATACCTTCAAAATGTGATAGACAATGATGCATTTTTGTTTGATCAACACCTGATNTCTTAGTTTAGTAAATACACTCTAATGAGTTTCCTTCATTTACTTCAGGAATAACCAAAACACAAAACTGTCACTGGAACCCAAAAACTGATGAAGAGATGAATATCATTGCATATGAAACTGTGAGAATAAATTTTGTGAGGTTATACCTTCAAAATGTGATAGACAATGATGCATTTTTGTTTGATCAACACCTGATGAATCATGCAAAGTCCATGACAGTTTTCTAACTCCTGTATTCTCTGTTGGTTGTACTCAATGAGAGTATAACTCAAAGCGCTAATGCTTGAGTTTCTTCACAGCTATTGAGTTCAACAACCTAAAAAAAGTAGATATATTTTTCTCCTGACTTGTTGAGAGTAAAAGTATAACATGTGCGATTATCACCTTTATGTAATATCAATCTAACAGTTTCTATGAAAGTTTATTTTTTAATACTCACATTGTAACCATTTAAGAATTGTTGATAAACAAAACTGAGCAAAAGGCATAAATTCCATTCTCTTTAGTCTCTTTAGTATATTATAAATGGACTAAAATAACATTAACAGCCTTAGAGGTTAGTAGCATTTTATAATTAGTGATCTGAATTGTCAGCAAAATGTTTCAAGTTTTCAGTAGAATAGTCAATCAACAAACAGACTCTACATAAAAAGACATGATGCTTGCCCCGTGGGGCCTACTGTCTAGACAGAGATAAGCCCCACATGTAAAAACCATGTATTGTGCCTCATACTTCAATTCAGCCAACACTTTCTGACAATAAGAAACACACACCCATTATCATGACAAAAGGCAAAGAAGAATGAGACAAAAGAAATGCCATGAGAGCACAGAAATCACTTCTGTTTCCTACCTGCTTGGTTTAGGGAAGGCTATGAGGAGAGGAAATGGTCTGGAAGGAGAGCCCAATCCTGGAAAAGCAGAGATAAAGGGGTGGCTGGGATGCAGCCTGGAGAGGGATAAAGGCCTACACTGGAAGTCCATGGTACACCTAGGAGGCTGCAGATTGCCTGTTTGGCTGGATGACGGACATTATGTTCAAATGGCAGGCTATGAATGTAAAGATTTCAAGGAGACTGAAGTTTATTTTTATAGGGGAGGGAAGGATACAAAGTTTCTAAGTTTTAAATGTGAAAACATACTTTAAGTATTGGCAAGATCCTAATATATGTAAGATAAAATTTTAACCATTTTCTTAGGATCCAATCACTGTATCAGTAATCATAACAAAATTATATTCAAAACCTTGATGAAAGCGGAACAACTAAGGATATACATTTTGAAACTGTACAATGATATAAAAGGAGATTACAAAATGTTAATGAGGAGTTAAAGAGCTTTAAATTTTAAAACACTTGGGGAAAATCTATTCTAAATAATACATACCAAAAAAGTATGCAAAAGGAAGAGGAGGAAAAGACGACAGCTTACAGAGAATGGTAGGTCAAGTGCTAACAAGATATTTATAAGAACACTAACAACAAACATTAATATGCCCCTTATTGCAAAGTTAATCAAGGTGGACCTGTTAAAGAAAGCAAGCCAGTTAGGGAGACAGTGTGAAAATTTGATAAGATTGCAGAAGCTATCTTAGGGGTAAAAAGAAGATGGCGTTCTGAGGATAAAGGAAGATCGAGGCTACTTTAATTAACCAGGGATATGGATCCTGAAGGAGGAGAAATGATTTGTGCCAAAGTGAAACCATTTGTGGCCTCTATTATGGATTTTAGAAGTCTATGAAAAAGTCAATATATAATTATTGACTGCCTACTTTGCATCAGATAAGTTACTGTCCTTGCCCTTCAATGACTAAATAGAGCAGATATTAAATGATTTACTCTAAAATGGTACTTATGGCCTGAGTCAAACTTTAAAAATTTCTCCTCTTTAAACTAACAGACCCAAATAAATAAAAATGTCTTAATTTTTAAAATTTTTTATTGACCTTTGGTTTTTTCCCCATGCATGAGAAAGCTTTAGGAGATGTTTCTTTTTCATATATATCTTATTTTAAAAAACACATTTCTTTCATCTCATTACTACAGCATGCATTTTTCTTTCCAAAGGCAATTTAAAATTTCATACGTTTAATATTTTAATTGCTCTAATAACATTTCTGGATAATAGAAAACCTCTAAAAATCTTCATAAATTAGAAGAAACCATAATCATCTGTGGCAGAAAGCTTGATGACATCTTTAATATGTGATTTTTTAATGCTAAAAATTTAATATAGTTGAGTGAAGCTTTATTGGGGGGGGGGTAGTCCAAAAGAAACTCTTTATCAATAATAAAGAAGTAGTTTCTCTTTAGACAAAACTATAATCAGTGATTCTCACCCTAGCAAAAAGAAAAGCAAATATACCAGTTCCACCAATCTCATGCAAAATGCCTTGAATAGTTTTACATTTGGTAGGCTGGAGATTCTTTAGAAGATGAGGTTCTAATAAGATGCTCTGACATTCTTTTGAACTAAAGGGTCTTTGAGAGAGCTGAGTTTTCATCCGACTTTTAAGTCGAATCACTGACTCATAGATGGTATACTGAGCAAGACAAGTAAGTTGTATAAACAACTGAAAGACTTTCCTGAAACACAAATATTTTCCTTCAGTAACTCTACACACAGTTTGTAAAGTAAGTTATCAACTAGCAAATAAATATTTCAAAGCGAAAAGACACTCACCTGATCTTTTTCTTTGTTTTAAAAAAGACAGCTACTACACTAAACCAAGATGAACATGAAAAGCTAGGCTGCTTTCCACAAAGGAAATGATAAGTTTCATTGAGTGATCAATAGTATAAACACATCAAGACTGAGAAGGATTCAGCTTTGGACACAAAATTATACTTAACTTTTACTACTAATAACAGCTATGTCTTACACCACACGCATTATATACCAGGCACTGTCCTAAATAACCACTTATAAATATTGGGAACTCTGAGTCAATTTATCTGAAATTTTTGCTTTGGATTTGCTTATGAGCTGGCTACTCATTTAAAAGTGACTCTAAAATAGATCATTTTTCCTACTAGAATAAAATTTCAGACTGCCAGCGCACTTAAAAACAAAACAAAACCCAAAAATTCTTTCAAACGAGAGCACTGTACCCAAGAAAAGTATCCTTCAAAAATGGAGAGATAAAATCCTCTCCCAGACAAACGAAGGCTGAGAGAATTCATCACAGCAGACTACTCTTATAAAAGCACTAAAGAGCTCTTCCATCTGACAGATAATGCTGATAGGGAACACCACCACACCTAAAGGTACAAAAGTCACTGATAATGCACGTGTCAAAATAAACTCAGAAGACAGTCAAACTGTAGGGACGATGAGAGAACCGCTCCCCGCCCCAGCCCCGGTGGCCGCGTCTCCCGCCGCACTGGCGCTCGCAGCCGCCCCGGCTCACCAGGATCCGGACCCAAGGCCACAGCCCCGCGACTCCGAGGAACAGCCCGGCCGCACCTGCTCCCCGGCCCGGCCCCAGCCCCGCCTGCCGGCCGCTCCGCAGCAGCCCGCGGAGAAGGCGAGCCCGGCGCGGGAAGGGATGCCGGCTCTCCTCTCCCTGCC